CGGGCGGCGGCGGCGGGGCGCTCTGGCCGTTCGCCGGCCGCCACCGGGAGTCCGCGTGCGGAGCGCCGCGTCGCTGTAGGCCGGGTTGCTGTCACGCCCGGCAGAAAGCAGAACGAAGCGGACAGCGGGCCCGGCGCCGCCTAGGGCGGCGCGTCCCCGCCCCGACCGCCGCCAAGCAGCTCCTGGCTGCCACCCAGCGACGTGCCTGCCCAACGTCCAAATAGTTGCATTTTCATTTAAATCAAGCGAAACCAGACTAGATTGCGAGTGCAAATACTGCATCTCCAAGCGACAGCTGAATTCTCAACCCGGTTCTACGGTGTATCCAACATGAGGATCGTTAGATCACTAGGGTGCCGCCACAACTTCCGGGCCCTGGCACCGTCCGGGCCTCGACACTATTTTACGTGACTCGCCAACCCATACACGAGACTAATAATAAATACTAACCGTGAATGTAAATTATATCGTTGCACTAACCAGAAGCTCCTTTCCACTATTACCATGCATATACTCAACACCAATCACCCATATCCGAGAGTCTCACTGGACGAACCCTAATCCCTAATCTCACATTACACGCATTGTCATCCACTTCACACAACCCCACTTCACACATCCCCTACCCTTTACTGTTCGAAGCACATAGTCATCGACAAATCACTCACACCCACCGTGCTACACAACAACCCAGCCTCCTCATGTCCTGAGTAATCGTACACGCGGGTTCCTTTGTTCACCACTAAAAGCCATGATCCCTCCCAGGTGAATCCCACGCGATTTGGCGGCAATGTCGTACCATTGTAACCGCTATTTAAGAGGACTGATCAAATGGGCAAGATTTTATCGCTGGGAAATAGTTATTTTCAGTTCGCCCTACGTGATTGTGACCTTCGCTTTTCGGGGTTTACTGTTGGCGAAATTGAAGCCATATCCGCTTATCAGTGAGCACTGTTGGCCGAAATGAAATTAAACTAATAACAAATAGCAAGGACCAGCAAAATCCAACGCGTATGGTGACCTAACGTACATACGTTTGACTACACATACAAAGGCATTTACGACACCCAGGAACTATTTACCTTCTAGAAAAATGTTTACTCAACTTCTGTTAGAAATAATATTAGACTAGCGGCGTCCCTGTAAGTAAACATATAAATTTTCTGATAACATTCTAGATTAGACGCACACAACGACTTCGGATAGTTTGTGCTGCCCTGTCTTCAAAAAGAGTTTTACTTCCTTCGAAGAGAGGAGCATAAGAGAGTCGCAATATTATGTCAATCTTTCTGATTTAGATTGTTTAACCACCAAATCATGATCCACGTAGTATTCACACATGAGTTTATTAACATTTGGCTTCAAAACAGCGTGTGCTGGTCGTCAGATCGCCGAGGTTTTCACTCTGGAACAAACTGAGGCGCAACAACACAGCCTGGTCATAAAACAGCTTTAAAACTTTTCAATAAAATAATCTTTGCGCAACACGATAACATCTACCTTGTCATGCGATGGTTCGAAAAAGAAGTGATGTTCCTACTTAAGGATGGTCCTAACTTCAGCAGTCTTTACTAGCGTTGAAATGCACGCAGGTATCAAGGGCGAGCAGGGACTAACAACAGAAAAGATAGAGAAAGGACGTTCGGCGAATGAATTAGTGAGCAGGCGGTGGTAGAGCATATGACAAGAACTATAGCGGAGCAAGCGAGGACATGATCATTGGGAAGATTGTTAAAACAGGAGAGACATGTTGATAATATGGCATGTGATAGAGAGATTAATAGGAAGAGGCACGAAAGAGACATGTGGATATATTAAAAAAGAGTAACGAAATACTCGATTCGATGATCAGAGGACGTGCGTCAGACTACGCGAATCGAGGGAACTTAAAAACGTAAGAATTCAAGTATGTGTCGAACGACGGGTTGGTTCACGAAAAACAACACTTCTTTTCGACGCACGGGCACCCCACGACCTCAACGGAAACTTCATTCGCAACCTCCCCTAGGTAACAAGGCGGCATAAGATTTCAAGTTTTTGTTTCACACAAAGATGGGGTAACCATTATAAAGGCCTTCTAAGTTGAACCAAAGGTAATTTGTATAAGGTTATTACTCCCATTTTTAAACTAAGTATAAATAAAATATCACAGTGTTATAGACCAGACAACCACTTTAATTTTATTGACAAAATAATCTTCTAAAATTAATCGGGAAGACGGTGAGCTTGCTTCTTCATACAACAATTGTTCAAACATTGTTCAATATTTCAAAACTGGACCTCCCTATATTTCATTTTTCATCCGTTCCATTCCCGATCCATCCAAACCCACAGGGTATTGACACTAGCTCTGACGTGGGCACCCGAAACGCTCTTTGATATGGCGTGGGTGGAAAGATGAAATCATCCGACGCGGTCTGAGCGCGAATGTCCACCGTCTCGACACTAGTAAGAGACAACAGGAAGCTTACTCGGTAAAGGGACTCCCTCGCCAGGTCATTGAATTAATCCGTAATAATGTGTAAACATCCACAATCCATCTAGTCTTACAAAAAATACATTCACATACGGTACAAAGATTATTTCTTTTCATAAAAGATACTAAAGCGCAATTCCAAATTAAATCCAATGTATTATTAAACGATCATTTTAACTAAAAGCGCCCCGCAACCATACTCGAGAGAGCAACGACACCCTGCGCAACCTGCAGATAGCAGGTTGCTGCGAAACACGCGCCGGGTAATAAACAGATCTAACCACGGAACACGAAGTGTCAAAGTACTTTGCGTAAAACAGAAAAGTTAATAGCGAAATATTGTACTTGCTCATTGAGCTCATGATTCAATTGTAGTTGGCGAAACCCAAATACATTCCACAGGAAATACATATTGGGTTGTATCAAATACCGACGCACACCATCTCAAACTACTGGACCAGTGCCATCTTTCTCCCATAAAACTTGTGGAGGTACTCGTCAGAAAATATAAGAAATGTCACCGTTCTGGCATTTTCATAAATCAGGCTGCAATCATTATACGTTTACTTTCGCTTTTCGAAATTTTAAACCCATGAAGTAATAAAATTCGTTCACTTCAGGTGTCAATGGACGATATCAGAAACATCCTGTTTTCTAGCGTTGCAAATCTCTCTCACAAAGAAGCGTGCACCTTGCCCCATCTATCGCCAACATCTGGGCTTTCTCTGCCGTACCAGCTTCCTCGAGGCGGAAGACTGCTCGACCTCGGTTTCCACGATCTTATTGGGTTCTTGTTTTGGGGAAGCATCCCTCATTACACCGATGCAGCTACAAGATATTTGATATTGCGGCACCGATTGTAAGGGAGACCGTGTGGGCAAGTGAGCTGAAGATTACAGGAACCGTCGGAGTGGGTAGAGACCGTTAATAGATTTCGTCTGAGATTAGGTTTTGCTCTAAAGATGTTG